ACTTACCTCAATTAAATGCAGGGGGTTTCTTCGTCGACCACACGAAAGTTGACTTAGGCTATTCATTATCCTTCATAACCAATCTTGAGCGTCTTTTAAAAATAAAACGGTCCGAAAACCTACTCGATCAGACGTTTAATTATTCTCCGAATCCGAATAAATGTAAATAAAAATACAACAATATTATGTAAAACGGTACAGAAAATTACTAAAAATGACTTTTGAAAATATTTACAAACGATACATAATTTCTTCAGATGAGCGATTTTAAAACCAACCAAAATTTCCCTAACGCAGTTTGAGTTAGTTATAATTTTTATTTGATATTTAATAATGGCTTTTCATAATATCTATGTAACACCGTTTGGCCACTTGTACACGTTTTTAAAATGTCTGGTTTTGAAACTAGACACTTCAATTATGGATATCATTGCAGTGCAGCCAAACCAGTGGTGGTAGCACTACTTGTGTTATTATTAAATGTATAAGCTATCACCTCAGTTTAAGATAATGTTATCATTACCACAATTATTCGATTATGGAAGCAGATTGTCGAAACACAATATTTTGGCCTAGAAGGTTTTGGTTTTGTCAAATGAGTTTTTTTTCAAACCTATGGTCACACCGATTAAATTGAACATTTAAAAATTAATAAGACGCTTATAAAATTGTACTGCTCAAATATTAATAAATATATTACATTGATTTGTTTAACCATTTAAAACTCGAGAACTAACAAGTTTTGTACTTTATTTACAATAATGTAATGTTCTGTGTAGTTTCGTGACGTTTAAAAGCAATACTTAGCTCTGTTATTGGTTTTAATTCGGATTTTTAATTATAATATGACATTTTTTGAATTTATTGTTTTAATAAAGACAGCGACAAACAGCGGGCACGTCGTTTCGTTTATGCGGCTGTCGAATGTACGTGGCAAAAAAATCTAAAATACTCAAGTCCGAACCGTTTAAGATGACCGAAAATGCGTTCATTAGGTTTTTCATACCGTTCGTTTTGGCTTGGTACTTATACAACGAGACAAAGGTGTGCGCAGACCCTCCAGTGGCAGAAATAATGCTCCAACATATTCAACAAGAGTATCATTGGGACGAGATGTGGTTCAGCGGGGTCAACGGTGACACGATAAATTCCAATCCCACCGAAGGGGTCAAGTTGCGAATGTTTTCCTTTTTTCTGGGATGTGGTTATGGCGTGAGACTCAATTGGTTTCTGTTGATGACGCTGGAAACGATTGGCGAATGCAATAAATTGCAAGCGAGCAACCGGAAAAGCGCTGAAGATTGTGTGCACAAACTTTTAGAGAGCATCGAAAGAGGTAAATCCGTCATGTTCAAATTGATGCGCGTCTTGCAGGTGGTGGACTTTGTAAACGACAAAGACATTGCCCAAAATCCGTTTTACCAAACGCTAAAACCACTCCTGGGTTTTCTCACGGGAGAGCAGAACCTGGAATTCTTTACCGAATCGCCGGGAGGTTCGACTATCAACGGGTTGTTCACACAAGTCGCCAATTCGTTGGGCATGTTTTTGAGCCATAACTGTGAACCAGAATACCAACGATTCGATCTAGCGGTCATATGCCGTGATCTCCTTAGTAACATTTACAAGAACGGTTTCTACCCTTTCTATACAAGGAGATTACTAACGTACGTCGAAGAGATCAGCGATCACCTGATCCAACTCGGTTTTCACTACAACGAGATTACGGACTGTATTACCTTTGATCCTACCCAAGATGCAGAAACATAGTTAATGTCCAGTTTCCACTACTTTAAATACATTTACTCATTCGTGCCAAGTTAATGTGTGATAACTAATAAAGTAGAATAAAAGTCAGAATTCCTGTGTTTTTATTTCGGTGGAGAAATCCCTAACGTGATCACAGTATAATTCGATACCACCGTTTGGTATTGTTTAGATTAATAAGCATTGTACCCAATGGCAATAAAATGTTTGCTAAATTCAATTTTAGTATTTAGGTGGATGCGATTAGGGTTGTTCGATTGTCCATAGTCACCACTCGCCATCTAAGTACGATAAAGATAATATTATCGTTTATATAGTTTAGCTTGAGATAGCCTGCCTACAATATTAATTTAACTATTATTATTATACAGATTATGCTCATTTTATTATTACTACATTTAATATGTATAATATAAGGGGATGCTACATTAAGGAACAAGACACTCGTTTTTGTATTTATGTTTTACAACACTAATATATTTTCAGTAGCTGTTTCAATGTTATCTGAACTATCTAACAATGTCTACACTTTCTATGTAAGGAGATTAGAAATGTACATCGAAGATATAAGTAAACATATGCTCCTGCTTTGTTTTCACTACAACTCTATTACGGACTCTATGACCTTCGATCCAACCATGGGTACAGAAACATAGCTGTTATTGGTGTTCAATAGTATGACCTATGTATAATAGAGTACTTTTTTGTGTGTTTTTTCCTTAAAGCAATAATGCACAGTTTATAATTAAAAAAAAAAAAAAAATGTATTCATGCAATATAAATGTGTACTTAAGTAATATCTCTAAGTATATGTCTAATAAAGTAATATGAGAAAATATTTTTTAGATTTAATAATTTCAATGGTACAAAACAAATTTAATAAAAATCAGAATTCCGTTTAAACACCTGTGTATTTGTTTCATTTTTTTTTTTATTCTATACCAGCGTTTGGCATTATTCAGATCAAAAAGTATTGTACCTAAGGACAATCACGATATTTGAAATACCTGTTGATTCACCCACACCTAGCAACTTAGAAATTAGATACGATCAAAGCACAGAATAGATTAGACTAAAAAACGTATATTCTGCGGTTGTGAAATGTTGTTTTTTTTCTCTTACATTTTCTCATTTTTGAGAAAATGTGTTCAAATTTTCAAATTGTGTTGTATAGTGTAATTTGCTTAAATGCAATACCCTTATAATCAAGACTTTAGATTGAATTTTGTATAGGTATATAATTATAGAAAACGTCTACGGTAAACTGATTGTGTGCACACAATTGGCATTTCACAGTATACTATTATGTGAAATACTAATTATAAAATTTAACAGCGAACAAAGATCGACAATTAAGATTTATAATAGTTGTTTATGAGCTATAATTGTGTAACCGGAACACAATTATTGTTGTGAACAATAAATTTGCACGGGCATGGTAAAAAATTTAAATAAGATTAACATAATATTAGCTATCGTTTTTATAGTTAATCTTGACATAGCCTGTCCACAATAAAGTATATTATAATTATTACTAGTATACAGATTGTGCTCTTGGATCCAAACAATTATGTCTATATTATTATTATCAGCGCCGGATTAGCATATTATAATTATTATTATGTTAACCCTCGCCCGGTGACGTCTGATGGATTTTCAAGTAAAATTATTATTAACGCTAAGATATATCAACCTGTCCGTAGGATACAATAATAGAATTTAAATAAATTACCAGTTTATTTTCAGAATTTAATTTAATATCGTACCGGATTATTAAGTTTATTTTAAGAATTTAATTTAATACCGTACCGGATTATTATGACACCTATGCAGGGTGGATACAATTTTTCAAGTTAATGGAACAATATTGTTGATATTTCTTGCTTAAAATTTGTCCGTTACCACTGATGATAAGTCGGTTGTAGATACAAGTAGTATAAAATTAATGTAAATATTCCTCGATTAAACTGAATACAATACACCAAAAAATACAAGCTAAGCCGAATGCTATCTGATTTCTCACATCTTCCGAATGAACAGTACGAACAGTGCTGCCAGAACTATGGTAATTATCTTTGTACTGGCTAACCTGATTTGCCCGCAAGCGTAACCGCAATGTGTCCATCCCCACTTTGACCGCACCAATCACCTCTCCGCCTCGTATTCTCCAACGATGACTCTCCCTCGAGCTAATCGATGACCCGCCATTTTACCCTCACCCCTTATCACACATACTCTTATCCCCTCCTTCTTATCTCGCATTTAATTAGAGTAGATAATTTTAATTGTCTATAATTTATTTTTATTTTTTAAAATACAAATGGAATACATACCTTTTTTATTTCTTCAAAATTAATGAAAAGAAACAGCCAGACAGAATAGATTTTTCTTTTTTAGCCCACAAAAACTCCAAATTGATTGGTACTTATCGCAAAACAGTTATTTTACAACCTTGAAAATATATACTTTGAGGTAAAAGCGTTATTAAAATTGATTTGTCTTACATACAATATAAAACATTTACACTAGACTAGAATTTTCTTCAGTCTTTGAATGCACTCAATTTTGTTGATGTTTGTCTCTAATTGAATTTGAAACATTTTGACTTCTTATTAAGCTAGTCGCATTTACTTTATTTTTCCCCCCTCCACATTTTTAATTAATAGTTTTTTTTTATTTTAATACAAATGGAAATACAAATAAATTGCAATTAAAAAACAACTTAAACGAGTAAATAATGAAATCAACGGTCAAATAAGAATGTATTAAGGCATTGCGTTTTTCGAACAATTATAAAAATTATAAAACACCAGTTTATAACAAAAAGTGAGTTTTATCCATTTAAGGTAATTTGTTTGACGCTTTACCTGACACGTTTTTGTTTCTTTTTTTTTAAATTTAATTAAAATCAAAAACTAAGAAAAAATATTTTAAGCTTTACAAATCTACAAATTCAATAAGTCATCAAGTTAGTTTTTTTGAAAAAAAAAATCCTATTGTCTATGGGCACAATTTAAAAATTATTTTTAATTATACAAACATATATATATATATATATAAATAAAATATTATTATAGTACTTTAACCTATTCATATTAATGTACGGTTTAGAATATAAAGAAAAAAAAACAAATTAACGAATCGAGCATAATTATTATTAGATTGAAAATTGCCAATACTATAATATTATAAATGTAATATAATACAAAAATATATTGGTATTGTAATATTTAAAAAATAATAATAGCTTGCGTATGGATGATTGTTTATTTTTACACATTTTATATTTATCCTACTTTGAAGCGACTAAATGAATAGTTCAATATTTGTCTTATATTCTATTTATACACATACATACTTACATAAATATACATAAAAACTAAAGAATTGTAAAAAAGTTCAATAGTTAATTAATTACAATTATTTGGTATCCGTCTAAGAAATTGGCGACAAGACAAAAATAGTAGGTGTCTATTTTTTTTATCAAAAAATATAACTTTGCTTAAGAAAAGACTCAAACGCAACAATACACATTATCGTTTGTCTGAAAATCATTTCCTTTTTTTTTTTATCAAACAACCGTTTTAAATGATTGTAGTTTCGATAGAAATTGCGTTGTCTTACAAAAATATTTTCATTATATTTAAAAATTAATATAGATAGACAATTAAGGTACGGCTAATTATTTATTATTCGTGCGTCGTCGTTTAATAAGTGTCAAATTTTTACAAAATATTAATAAATCACTGTAAAATACACTATCGAGGTTTAAATCATTGTTATTATTCTCTTAACATTCTAAATTTTGTTTTAATAACAGTTGTTGAAGCGTACAAAATTGCTAGAAAAAAAAAAAATGAAATACAGAGTGTACGACTTTGCCTAAAAATAAACAAACTGTACTTGTTATATTAATAATAATAATAATATTACAAAATAATTGCTATCAGCCAAAATAAAGCGCCACGTACATTTTTTACACGGTACAAAACAAAATTTAAATAAAATTGAAAAAAAGTCTTCACCTAATACACATTATTGCTGCCATGTTATTTATTGTAATACAATTATTATATTGATAATACAGTGATCGTAAAACAAGGAAAAAAAATATTAATAATAATAATTATATCAAAATATAGCTCGTTAGTCGTCCAAAATATGTTTAGAGTACAAAAATTGCGTATCGTTCCGATCGTCGTCGAGTGTCAATCGAATAGTCAAAACTTACGTATTAATTTACTCGCAAGGTTTTTTTTGTTTATTTACATAGCATCAATAATACAAATTTCACTGAATAGGTGTACTCAAAATATTGATGATGGTTGTTAAAAATTATTACGGTCAAATAAAAACTAATATAATATTATTTACAATATACATTACAAGTTCTAAAATATAATATTATTATAAATAATAATAAAAAAAAAATGTTTAATCGTTTACACACACAAACACAAAAAAAATTATATATTCTATTTAGTACGTATCCGCGGCCGTAAGTATTTTATGCCCCGTAAAATGTTTTTGTTATAAATGCTAATAAATACAAAAAAAAACACAATAATCAATCATCATTATTCAAATTGTCGTCAGTCTGCTGTTGTTAAAATAAAAAAAAAATTAAATAAATATAAAAACAACACGATATTAATAATAATATTGGAAGGCAAAAAAAAGCATAAAAATGTATTAAGGCGAAAACCTCGGTTAGAGTCGGCTACAAAAGATATTATTTACAAGTAGTGTAACAAAATATAATAAGACACATCTTTTTCTTATTGCTCGTATTATGGAAAGCGAAATATTATGTCCTTATCACTTGGACACGAAAAACTGTTGTTGTTGTGGGCCGCCGCCGCCGCCTCCAGGCCCGCCGCCGCCGCGCGTGTTGGTCGCGTACAACTGTTGTTGGAAATTGTGAAACTGCTGCGCGTAATTGGGGTCGGCCGTGGTGGGCCCTATGAACGAGTTGCCGCCGCCCGGACCGCCACGGAACCCGCCAGGTCCGGGCCCCGGCCCGGGGCCCCCGCCACCCATCGACGGCGGCAACGGCTGCGTAGCGTCCGGCGGCGGTCCGGGCCCGGCCATCATCGAGCCGCCTCCTTTGTGCTGTTGAGGCGGCGGTCCACCTCCACCGCCGCCCATCATCATCATCTGCTGCTGCTGCTGCTGTTGTGAGTGATGATGAGGCGGCCCGCCACCGAACATGCCGTCCGGTCCGCCGCCGCCGGGATTGTAGTTGTTGGCCATGCCGCCTCCCATTCCGCCGGGCCCGCCGCCGCCTAGCCGGATCATGCCGGCCGGGCCGCCGCGCATCATGCCTGGTCGGCCGTTGTTGGGTGGCCCGGGCGGCATTCCACCCATGCCGCCGCCCGGCGGGCCGCACATCATGTCGTTTAGGCCGCCGGGGGGACCGCCTCCGTTGTAGCCGCCGGCGTTGGGGAAATACTGTAGGTTGTGCGTGGGCACTTTGCCGTCCAGATTGGACAACGGATTGCCGCCTCCCGGGCCGCCGCCGGGACCGCCCGAAAACCTTTGCAAAAAGTCCATGCCGGGCTGTTGCTGTTGTTGCGACTGGGGAGGCGGAGGCGCGCCTCTAGGGCCGCCGCCTCCTCTCGAGTTGTTGGGCAAATACTGTATGGTGTTGGGCGCGCTCGGTTTCACTTGGATGTTCGCGCCACCGTTGTACTGGACGCCAGGGCCACCGCCGCCCGGAGGTATCCTGGGCATCAGCCTCTGTTGTTGCTGTTGTTGGTACTGTTGTTGTTGCATCATCGACGTGGATTTAGGCGACAGTGGGCCGCCGCAAGAGTTCATCATCATGCCGCCGTTTCGGCTGCCCATCGGGGGCATGCCCATCATGGGCATACCTCCTCCGCCACCGCCGCCGCCCATGGGCATACCGCCGGGGCCGGAACCCGGGGGCGGCGGGCCTTGTCCCATACCTGGACCGTACATCATTCGGCCGCCGCCCGGTGGACCGCCCATGCCACCGCCGTCTTGCATTCCTCCGCCGCTGCCCATTCCCATGGGCCCGCACATCGGGTCGCCCATGCCACCGCCGCCGCCGCTACCCATCATGTGCATAGGCGGACCGCCGGCGTTGCCGAACGGTGACATCATGCCGCCCGGATGGTGGTGTCCCGGACCGCCAGGATGGTGCATGGGTGGCATTCCGCCACCGCCGCCGTGGTTGATTATCGGAGACGACGCGCCGCCGCCGGCCACGTTGTTGGCTAACTGTTGGTTCATCTGGGCCAACGACGATATGGGATCGAAATGCTTCATGCCGGGTTGTTGCGAGTTCTGGAGGCCCGGCGCCGACGGTGGGCCCGGGACGGCCGAAGACGGGTTGAGCGGCATGTCGCCGGGACCGAGCCGGGGCGGGAATCCCAGGGGAGAGTCCTTTGGGTCGTTGCCCATCATGCCGGGCTTGTGCGGTTGAGGCGGGCCGCCGTTGCCTCCATAACCGCCGCCCGGATACCTCGAGTCGTTCATCATCATATGCTGTTGCGGGCTCGGCGGACAACCGTAACCGCCGCCGCCGTTTCTCATCTGTTGTTGCATGCTGCCGCCGCCAGGTTTGTTGTTCGGACCGCTATTGTCCATGGCCGACGGACTGGGCGACGCAAAATCACTGGGAGTACCCGGAAACCGACTTCCGCCGCCGCCGGGCAAGTCCATGGACGACGGTGAATGGTGATTGGACGGCGTGACCGCTTGCGAAGACTTCATGTTCGAATCGGTCATTATCATGTCCATGTTGTTTTGTAAGGATATTCTATGACACACAAAGACAAAAATATTGTTTATTAATTTTTCCACTAAAGGTGTCTTACTTAGCCGTCGACAAGAGTTGGCTATAAACTAGATAGGCTAACCTGACCTAACCTAACCAGGGTAACAACCATGTGGGTTGTTTATTTTGGGCCAACTCTCTGCCGTCGACTGTTGTATACTTACGAAGGAGACATAGTGGACGTGGTGGTGGTCGTGGACGAAGACTCTTTTAGACCGGTGTTGGGCTGCTTTTGGATGGTCAGCTCTTGGCCGTCGAATGTGTTAAGGTATTGGATGCGTTGCGGCGATGGCACGGGCATCAGGTTGGGTTCGTCGCCGCGTTTTTGCGATTTGTTCGGGCCAAACAGAGAGTCTGAAACATCAAAAATATCGTCAACCAAACCTGGAACAGGTGTCATACAATTACACACTCACCGATCAAAAATTCAACATTTTAAGCAAAATTTAATATGTCTATTCATTTAATCTAATCTAATAAAAAATGTAATGTTTACCAGGAGACGGTTGGCCGCCGCCGGTGGGTTGGCCGGGAGTGTTGGTGTTGGACGACGGCGAGAACTCGTTGGACATCGGTCCCTTAGGTTTGGACGAGTTGCCGCCGCTGCTGGGCGACATGTGGACAGGCGTGCCGGGATTGCTGGACTGCAGCCTGGACCCGTTTCCGCTGGGCGACCGTACGGCCGTCGGACTCATGTTGGAAGACGGTCGACCGCCAGCCGGTGAATTCATGGAGGAACACGTGCGCGGTGACGGCAACGACAGGTTACTGGTGACGCCAGTCCCGGCGCCGGTCAACGGCGAGTTAGGACTGCAACTGGGCACGGACACGTTGGGCACGCTGGCGGAACGGGCGACCGTCTGGTGGTAAGACGGTGGTGGTCCGCAACGGCCGCCGTCTTTCTTTTTGTCGTCGTCGCCGAACATGGACTTTTGCCAGTCGGGCGTACACGACGTGGGCGTCTTGGGCGGCAACAGCATGTCCGCAGAACTGTTGGCCGCCGCGGCCGTCACCACGGCGTCCACGTCCAGGTCGTCGTCGATGGAGGGCATCAGGTCGTCCATGCCCCCGCCACCGGAACAGTTGTCCAACGGACCACCGGAAGAAGAAACGGCCGGCGGCTGCTGCGGCTGTTGAGACGGGCCGCCGGAATTTTCGGGGAACAGCATTTGCTGGAGTTTGCGCAACGTGGCCTGCTGTTCCTCGCGGTGTTGCCTCTGTTGTGGAGTGAGATTTTCGTCGGGTACTTGCACGCCTGTAACAACGCCATCGAATGACTTTAATCAACAACAACCCAATATTATCGACTTACCGGCCAGCGAGTGATGAGCCGCGGCGGCTGCGGCGGCCGCTCCGCCGTTTCCTATCGGGTCGTCGAAGTCGGCCAGAGAAGGCATCATGGAGGCCAACGAGTTGTGGCCGCCCGGAGAGCCCACGGATCCGGGAGGGCCGCCGCCCGAGGAGGCCAACAGACCGTCCATTGGCGACGGCTGACACTTGCTGGGATCGCCGCCCATGCCCATCATGTCAGGCATACCGTGCGAGGGCATGTGCGGAGGTCCGCCGCTCATGCCGCCGGGACCGCCGCGGTGATGCATTGCGGCCGACGGATGGTGAGGCGGAGGAGGGTGGTGCGGATGATGCGGACCACCGCCCATCATTTGCCTGTGGCCGCCGCCGTCCATCATGTTGTGTTGATTCGGGTGGTGCGGACTGTGATGGTCCATCATTCCCATGTCCATTCCGTTCATGGGCATTCCGCCGCCACTACCGGGTCCCATGGAACAGAGATTTCCTACAACAAGACACCAAAATATAATTTTAAAACTATTTTTCTCATTTCAATGTTTACTTGGGTAAATTGTTATAGTTTACCTTGCTGATTCATCATCATACCCGGACCCATCGGTCCAGGGCCGCCCCCGTGGTTGGACATGCCCATCATGCCGTTGTTGCTGCCACACATCGGTCCACCCATCATGTTGTTATGGTTGGACGGGTGTTGCATCTGCTGCTGCTGTTGTTGTTGTTGAGGAGATCCGGAATCGTTCATATGACTTCCCTGTGTACAATGCCGTCATCGGTTAGTCAGACTATAGCGAGTGAATGATGTATATTAGTATCGTACCTGATGATTCCACATGGGCATTCTGGCTCCGGGTTGCATCATCGAAGGGTTATCCATCGGACCGCCACCCGAAGGACTGTTGTTGTTTTTCATCATTCTCGAATAAGGCGTGTTGGCGCCGTACTTGGCCTGGCCTCCGTGCGGAGCCATGCCTTTGTTTTGTTGTTTGACTTGTTGTTGGGAAGCCGTCACGTTGTTCATCCACTGGCCGGGATTTTGGCGGTTGAACTGGTTCACTTTCAAAGGGTGTTTCTGTGTACGCCAATCAAATTTGAACACGGTCAAAAATTATGCTATATTATTTAATTTTCAATATCGGTTTACCTCGAGGAACTTTTTCGTTCGCGGTTGAGCACAATGATACGCTATAATGGTGGGATATTGGCCGGCCAATACGGCTTCGGCTGACTTGTTGGCCAGACTGGTGGAGAAGACGAATATTTGACTCTGCTGTTGCATGTACTGCTGTTGTTGTTGCGCGTCCATATTGCTTCCCGACGTAGCGTTGGATTGCTTGTTGCCGGCATTGTTAATACCTAAACAAGACGACAATGGTCAACATTAACGACGAACTGACAGACATCGTGCCGAACAGAATTCACTAAACCGAACAGGTAGCACCAGTTGGTTGGTTTCAGGTTTTTCCAGTAACTCTTTGAAAATAGATTAAAAATTATTGCAACCTTTTTTTTTTTTTTGGAACTACCCATTATTATTATTTAATTAATCTTAACTTCTCAAAATTGGCAATAAAAAAAGGCTTTTTAACTAAACATATTTTTCTTGTTCAAGCCCTTCAAATGTTTGGCATTAACCAAAATATGTAGTTTATTGGTTCAATAAACCAACAAGTATCAGTTTGTTAGGTTTAGAGATACTGATTGGGCTACTGTGCTACATGACAGTAAACCCAAGCCGAAGGTCTTCTATTCGGAAAACAACATACCAAAATCGGATTCTCCCGCATTCCCCGTCGAATTGCCAGAGTTGTCTTCCACTTTGATACCACTATTACTTCCCGTGTCCTCGTGTTTAACTAAACAGTGTAAGTCATTGGTTGTTAAATGAAAGGAAAACAAAAACAAAGAGATTGGTTTATTATTATACTAACTTTGGCTGAGGCACATGTCGTTGGACATGAGCTGAGGTTTTTGATCGGCCCCCGAAGATCCGGGAGACGCGTTACTGCCGGCGCCCACTCCGCCTTTGCCGTCGGTCACGTCACCGCCGTTGCCACCGTCGATGAGCGCCGTCATGTCTCCTTCAGTCTTAATAATGATGCTGTCTAGATCGTGATGTAGATCACTGGTATTGTTGTCGGGCGTCTTGATCATTTGATTATCATCACTGGCGCCAGGACCCCCACCACCGTTGTTTGACGACAAACACTTTTTATCTGCCCTCTGCTTTTCCTTGATCATCACACGCTAAGCGCCCAGGCTCCAGTGCCGTTCGGTAACGGGGCACGGCGGCTGAAAAAACAAAAAAAAATCATTATTTTTATTAGAGCTGAGAAAATGTATTGGTTTTACAATAATGTGTTAATTAATAACAATATCAAGTCTTACGGCTGGGGTAGTCTTTCAAAAATTTGTAAGGATAAGGTGGGGAAAGGATGGTGATAAGGGGAAATCGGAAATCTCTGGATAATTGATAAGAGATTATTGATAATAGAACAATTAGCTGATAAGAGACACGTTCATGATCCAAATATGTGTTTCCTTTTGGGGGGAAATATTGAATTTTTGATTATATTTTTTTATTTAATTTATATAATGATTCATTACATTTTCAAGTGACCAGAGTGGCTACTAGAGTTTAATTTTAAATTACGAAACGCTAATACTTCTTGAAAAATAGACGAATTACTTTTAAATTTCAACGGAGATTAAGTAAGATTTATGGGAAAATACCAAATAAATATCAACCCTTACAACCAAATGTTAAAACTTTTCCTATGATAAAAAAAAAGTCGACTGAAAACTTAAATGGGAGCCTCACATTTTGATTTATTTGTACTTTTGTCAGTTTGTGAACTCTGATTAAAATCCGATGATGATGATAAAATTATTTGAAAAACATCAGACTAGAAAATAATTAGATAAATGGGCGGACGAAATCTACGATCAGTCTTGACTTCAATGAAGATTGTCGTTGTTGATTATTTTCCTCATAATTAGTTGAGTACTATTTTTAATTAGACTTCGTCTTCAAAGTCAAAGTGTGTACGTATTTAATTAGAAAAGGCCATCCCAGGTTAGATTGTTTTGAAATATCCGTCAGAGCACACAAAAGTTTACCAAGTAAAAAAAAAAAAAGAGATCTAAGACACGAGTATTTTATATTATTTAATAAATAATATATATGATAATAACGGTGTTATCTGAATTTATTTGAAAATCATGAGCTCTACACTTAACTGTTTTTAAATGTAAATAATATATACCCAAAACTCTCTTAGTGTACGACGTCTATGATTTTCTACAAATAATTAAATACCAATAATATTTATAGGTTATCTAATGAATAAATATTTAAAAAAATAGATCTATTAATGTAGTATTATATTTAAACAATAGGCGTAATGTACCAGTAATTAGGCCTAATCACAAACACTATAATTACTAGACCAGATTAAAAGATAAAGACAACATTAATTTATTTCTAAGAGGTGTATTTCGTATCGTTCTCAGTTAATTATGTGTACATAGTATATTTTTTAATTTCCTTTACTGTCCCCGTTTATAAAATATGACAATAGCAACAATTAGCTGAAGATATTTTTTTCAAAAAGTAATTACTGATAAAATTTAACTTTTCCTCTAGAAAACATTTTTTTTAACCACAAAAAACCTACTGAAAAATTAAAAACAATAAAAAAAAAACCATGTCAAACATTTGTACTTTGGTTTAAACGTATTTCAATTTTTTTTTTTTTTTTTTTTTTATACTTAAATCGTGTTTTTTATGATGTTTTAATTTGTTTTTTTCAAAATAAAACCATTTTTTCAACCTGAAAACGATGAAAAATGTCTTAAAGTGCGTCGACTTTCGCCATGTTTTAAATAATATGCTATTTGTAACGAAACATAATAATAGCCATTGCAAAATGAAAAAAAAAATGTGTACTTAGTTAAAGTCAAAACCCAAAATGTGTACTTGACAATAAGCGCCAGGTGCAACTTTTCGAACTGTCCAAATTCCAAGTTGAGAACTTTGTTTATCAAATATATTACAACTGAAATAATATTGTTATGATAATATTTGCCTTCTTAACTTAACACAAGTTCATACAAATTAAATGACACGGTCGAAATGTATTAAAACCAAATTTTTTCTTCTTAAATATGGCCTATACAAAAAAATCCTTACAAACGGGCCGCATGCAATCACCTTATAATAGAAACTCTAAAATTAATAATATTATTATATTTTTACATTTTATACCGAGTTTAATATACACACAACGTTAAACCCGGTGAAGTAGTTTTATTTTTAACAGTATTTTTTTTTTCTAAAGCGGTCTGTCACACGAGCTCGATGAAAACACATCTACTGTTTTTTTTCTGTTATTAAACTAACCGACCGTCTTTCTTTTTTTAATTAAGGTTTTTTTTTTTTTAATACAAGCGACCTACTGCGATTCGAGTGTTCACAATAATACTATTAGCCAAGCCAAGTCCCTTTAATGTTTTTTTTTTACATTCTCGACCAACCCCGTTTTGTGTGTTTTGTTACTACTAGTAATATGCATTGGATTTTTCCTTTGATGTCGACCCTGTCGTCGGCGTTGACCGAATAGATTCAAAAAGACAAAAACAACAAAAAATGTCAGGTTATTTAAAAAATAAATAAATTAGGCGAACCCCTAAAACGACAGCAGACTTGTGACTTTTTGCAAAACAAATATCGACTGAATTCATAGCGACATAAATAATAACCAAAAAAAAAAAAAAAAGTAGGTATCCTTTTCAAATAAAAGCATTAACCTTAAAAAAAAAAAAAAAAAAAGTACCTTTTCCCTTTACCGCTTATTGACTTTTAATGTCAAACGATATAACGATACAAGTCTAACAAATTGTATTTAAAATGCACAAATTAATTTTGTACATTAATACCGTTTACAAAAAATGTACACCTAAACTCATCGTACTCTTTGCAGCGAATATCAGATTTAAGCTCGTATGAACTTGGCCCAACGATAATATTACAGCTAATAATAATCTTAACACGCTTCTAACAATCTAACTGTTGGATATTTTACATATGCAACAATCAGTGTCCGCAACTTGATTCATTTGCATCGTTACCATATTTTATATCGTGCACGTTTTTATAGAAATTTAATTAAGTTATCCGGTACAAGCCGTAAACATATTTTATTAATATAAACAACAAACGATTCACGAGTATGATTAAAAGCTAAGACTAAATAATAACTTTTTTAATTAACGCCACGTTAGATAATGCGTTTAGACTGACATTAACAAGATAAGAACAAAAGTGTATTGTTTTTGTCTAAATTACATATTAGAGCACAAACCATGTGTTTTAATGACGTTATTGTGTTTACACTGGAATGCATGACAAACATATTTTGCATTTGTAGATGAGTAAATATTACACTTATTAATTATTGTAAACTCTGTTGTCAAGCACAGTCATTTTTCTTTTTATTAAGATGTATATTATTGCGTTAATGTGTCGATTGAGTGTGAACACCTTTTGTTTTTTTTAAATGTACAATTAGGACTAACCACAAAATCGACTAACCGTTTTTAATGTGTTTTTTGTGCAAAAACCAAAGTAACCGAATAACGTATCAAACTATTATTAGTATATTCAATTTTTTTAGTTATCAATATTTACCTCGTTTGGCACTAGAAAAAAGGACAACAAATTCAAATACAATTCCAACATAAGGGAAACATCAACTATTGCTTAATTATGACTTACGAGGTAATGACAACATTTATTTACACTCCTAATTACCGACAAAAAAATCATTATTGGTATACCAAAGTTGTTTTTCCAAGTCGTAAGTTAGTTTTATTTTATTCCCCTTTTAAACAAGAGATTGCTATAAATAAGAAATAGTCTAAATTCAGATTAAGATTTAGATAATATGCTCAAAATAAATGTAAAATGGCACAAAACAATAAAAACAGAAATATAGTTTTTACGTGTTTAATAAATTTTCTTTTTAGTTTGACAATTTTACGGCATATAAAAACTGTTTTAAATATTTCTACAGGTTACGATTAGAACGGTTTAGAAGTTAAGTTTTATGTTTTTTCAATGCTACATTTTACATAATATTTTAAACAATTTATAACAATCGGTTTTGTAAAACACAAACGTTTATAATTATTATTATTTTTTCATATGATTTTATTATAGTTATTAATTATTACAAATTCAATTTACGACAAATTGTTTTTCATATTCATAATACGAGATTAAGTATTACCAATAAAAGGGTGAAATAAAAAGTCTATAGCTAAGAATACCGAAATGTCTTCTAAACATGGGAATATTTTTTTCCATCGTTATTTTTATTGGCCAAATTAATCTGACGTATAATTTAAGTACAAAAGTGATTCAATCTGATTTATGTCTTAATATATGTAAATGCTTTGATATGCATAATTTTATGCAACTATTATATTCATTGAAAGCTTTTGTTTTGTTTTAATTATATATTTTTTAATTTTGTAAAACGAGTTAATAGTTTTTTTGACTGCGTATCTGAAAAACCTATTAAATGCGAATGGACACGGCAAATGTTATTAATGATACAGTTTAGCTTTCAGTGCACTAAACAAAACATAGTACGTAATAATATGACAAATTTCCAAATAAGAAAAATACAAATTATTGTTGGAATTTTATTAGAATTGGCCAACAAATTTAGATTTCTTATTTATAAGGCACGTTCAGTAAAGTATTTAATCAATTCAATACACTATATTATTATATTTTATAATAAAACCTATAATTTTAATTTTAATACAAAACATTAGCTGGATTTAAACAACAACAACCTAACCAAATTTTACTATCTTAATTTAAAATCTTAGACTCAATTTGTTTTCTACCAAATATTTAATTGTTAGTCAAATGTGAAATTACTTTAACTATTATCTAATTAATTTCGGAAAATAATTTATAATTGTAATAAAATAAAATTGATATCTACAACTACAAATATTTAGAAGCAATTTATTACATAGTTCTTTTTATGTTTTTTTATTATAACTATTCAATTTTTAAAATTAATTTCTCATATATTTTTTTAAATTTTACCCATCAACTATTTATCCAATAATATCATTAATAAACAAATATTGTTTTATACCATGTTTGTAAAAAATGTTAAATTTAAATAGGAATTATTAAACATTTACCGTAGTAGTCTCAATTCGCATTATAATTAGTAATTCTGAGAAATTTGTAAATTGAATCACATAACTGTCGAAAGCATTTAAAAATACAATTATTTTAAGTATAATATTAATGTACTCGTATTTAAAAATAAATAAATTCAAATTATTTATCTATACGGCTCTTATTAGTTAAAAACTTATTCACAAACGTCTCCAATTTATTATAATTATTAGTATTTTGTTTCCAAGATATTTATAATATACTCATAAGTATTTTAGTCTAACATAACTGAACTTAATTTACAAGTCTTTAAACGATGAAAAATGCAAAAGCTCATTTGACAAAAATAATACTATTTAAAAACAATATTTATGACGAATCACTTTGGTAATTTTTAACAGCATTGTCAATAAAATGACTGACTAAATTTGTAAACGGCTTTAAACAAATGTAATTACAAATTACACCAATTTCAATCAAACATCTTAGTTGATTCTTTATATTATCAGATCCTTATCTAAAACAACACAGCCAATGTTTTATCACAATGTTTATTATATTATATCATATGGATTAATTTCCAAAAGGGTTGAACATTTTGGAATGGTATTTTCAATACCAGTTTTTCACTCATATTAAACCAACACTACGTGTTGCAGATACTTACTGTGAATGCAAATTGAACGATTGGACAAAACGATGATCAATACGTTGGAACGTTGACATCCAAACCGTTAAGGAGCATACTCGTACTTGTGCCAAGCGTTTTCGTCGCCTCCTCCAGTATCATCCGACAGTAGCTGTTGTGACGACCGTTGTTGCATGATCGATCGATAAACGCTGATGACAAACATTGAACGACTTGAGACTTACGGGTGGCCTTGCATTAAAAGACGATTCAACTAAAATTATGTACGTACCTCATACACCGTGGGACTGCATAGTGCGGCACAGCGGTCTCTACGGACACGAAATCTGTCGCGTGCCGTACACCGTCTTCGGGTCGGTTATCATCGGCGATCCTCCAACGTGAAACGACCGCACGAGTCTGGCACTACTGGCGGGCGCGCGGCGCCCAACGATATTTTAGATGATAAGTGTTAATGCGCAACGCGTTACCGTCTGCACAACGCGAATGGCACCAGGCACACACACACACACGCGATTTGCGCGATTCGCACGGACCGAGGGGGACGTGTCGGCCGACGATGAATCGCCTGGAAAATGTCGTTACGGTCGCGACGACAACAATGTGAATTTCGAATGGCAATCGCCGTACACACCACACACACTGCACGCACACACGACCCGTACGTTCGGTACAATAGCCGCTGCTGGCGACAATAATAATAATAATAGTAATAATAATAATGATAAATAATAATAATAATAATAATAATAATAATAATATGTTCTTGGTTGTTGTACACGAGATCGGTATGAAGGTAGCGGCGGCGGCGGCGATGATGAAGGTGGTCAGGGGGCGGCGGCGGCGGGGGTAAATAAATAAAAACACGGCGCGCGGCCGCTACGGCGCATCGGCCATTTTGACGTTGGCCGTCGCCACCGCCGCCGCAGCCGCCGTAGCCGCCGTCGCCAGCCATCGTGGAGGCAGAACGCGGATGGAGGCAAATCGGCGGAGGCCGCGCCGTTTTGCCGCCAAAATTCAAAATCAAACCGTTCACGTTTAAATTGTTATATTGTATTAATTCTAATCGATAAAAAAAAAATACTATCGATAAATAACACCTATATAATAATACGCCTTATTCTACAGCTGATTATTTCATATATAGTCTATTTAAATAATGCAATCCGAAAATAGTGTTGATCTAAAAAGTATTTGGACGTATTTCATTTAAAAACTCTAAAATTACAACAATATAGTATTTTATATAATTTTTAAGTTAAACTATGATTTTAAAGTATTTAAATGGTAAAGGACAACTAAGCAAATAAGATCCTTCTCAACGAACTACAATATCCTTAGTAAATAGAAGGTATTTTAATATATAAATATTTTTTAATACTAAAAAGAATACATTATTATGATACCTATATTAACTCTATGTGCACAGGAAAATAATAAAATATAAGTTTGGACGTGCCCAAGAAGAATTCTATAATATTATATTATAAGCTACATTTAACATAAGAGTCACCAAATGAACAAATATATTTACTACCATTGATTGTCAATCGCAATGTTATCATACCACATAATGGATGAAATCTATTCTAAATTAAATTTATTCTGTACAATATTAATTTAACATAATAGGCATTAACTTAAGCGTTTAAGATTGTATGTATTTTACATAGGCCGCGCTTGTGTGTAATTACCTGTTCCCTTCTTAATAATGTTATCAGGTTATTTTTTGTTATAATATGTTATCATTGTTTTATGTGTCGTTCCAGGTGGATAATTCGTCCAGATTGGTTTATAAAAATGAGAATTTTAGTATTCTTGTCTTACTGGATTTACTCAACTAGATTAGGGTTTCGATAATTTTTATATATATTTTTGATCGAGACTAAAAAAAATATTTGTCCCAACTATGTTGAAGTTAGAACAGTTAAGAAATCTTATCTATGTATCTTCTAGTTTTTTTACAACCGTGTTTTGTCGTCTTTGACCAGCTAACAAGACCGCGGTAAATACCATGCTCATCAATAGTAATTGTTATCAACCGTCATAAATTTACCTCCATGGCTGCTATCACTTTTCAGCGATGACAAAAGGTGTTATCAATATTATCATAGTACAGTAAAATAATATTATAGGTAGTAAAATGTAAATACCTAGGCCCTAGTTGTAAGTAGAAATAGAAAAGCTTTAGGCGATAAAAATGACAAAATTAAAGTTTCATAGTTTATTAAGGTACTTATTATAGCCTTCTAGCCATTAAGCGAGGCAGACCGTCAGTTATTCGTCGTTCTAACTTGAATTTCAATTGAACGTATCAGCTACGTTGATAAAGTTTTATCGAGCAAGAAAATATTTTCCCTAGTTAGCTTATCGATCTGCCTCTAATCATTTTCAAAAAAACCCGTGAATCTCGGTAATTTAATGCAATTGCTAGCCCTCCACTAATATTATTGTAAAAAGTTGTACAAGTTTGTTTTCAATTACAAGGTAAGTATTAATGTCGCCTGTTTTATTGAATTTCATTAAGCAAATAACGTACTTACAGGTGCCAGTTTACATCACCACACACAACGAAGCAAAATAATTACCGAAGCGTAGGAATCGTCATCGTGTGGCTTTACAGGTCTTGAAGTCTCGTCGCTGTCATCATGAGATTGTTTCTTGATAAATTCGCTTTCGGAACAATAGGAATACCAAATTATTATTACCGTTAGAAGTACCTACGATCATATTTGAAACAGGACGTACCTACAAATTTTGTTTTTATACCTAGTTCCAAGAACGTTCTGCCTTGGCGTCGGTCAATATTTCTCTATTGGTAGCCAAATTTTTTATTTCACACTAAGTCCCCACCGACTTTCGTAAACACGGTTTTTACCTATTAACATAGCTAATATCAGGATGATATAGTATTCATTTAGTTCAGATAAAATGTTCGATACTGACATTGTAAATAGGTTTTTTAGCAATCATTCGAAAATTATAGCGACCAGAAACGATTTGTATTGAAAATAAAAGAAACAAATAATATTTTTCTAAAGTCATAAATTAAATTTTAACTAAGAAGTATAAACTCATGACTATCGAGTATAACTTACTAAATTACATTACAGAAAACCTTTGATTATAAAAGTAAAATACTTTACAAAAGACTTAATAGAGCTAACATTTTTTTTTTTTATTCTCCAAAAAAATGTATTAGTTTAAAATGAACAATTTTACGGAACTCGTTTGTTAACAGCACTGCTAAAAACTATCGACAGGTAAAGTAGTAGAAATAATTGTAAAACCAACTCGTTAATAGGTTTAGATAATAGGTATATTGTGAATTTTACTTTAATACATTTGAGTATTATGTACATAAAATATTTTTTAAGTGCACACTACAAGATTGAATGGTTGTACAGTTTTATTATTATTATAAGTTTTAAAAAATTTAAGTATTCACATTGTCTGCACTCGGATAAACTCATCACAACGAATATACTATTAAATATTTTGGCTACATTTTACCTCCTCTTCAGCTTATACCAATGGCACAATTAAGAGAAATTTATTATTATATCTTATATAAATGTCTTTTATTTTTAGGGGGAAAAATATATTTTGCATCTATAACTGCTCACATTTGGTTAGATTTTCAAACTACGCCGATAAGTAGTGCCTAATGGTGTTCGGTCAATTAACGGTCTACCTAATAATGTTCATAGCTTAGTTAAAACTTGTGTTTACTGTGTATTATGTTTTTATTTTATTTTAAATTACTAATTTATTTGATTTTAACCCAATACATAGGAAGGAGTACAATACGGCAAGACTTTCTCAAAATTGTGACGCTAATTGGGTTACTGATAAATTCCTGCTTCAACAGACAATGTGTTTACTTAAAACAAACTAAATACTATTATTTATTATTTTAGGTATAGGAATGAAATATTTTTGAGTAGTTTTATAATTCACGAAGGAAGTAACTGTGCAATTTTATTGGTTGCCACGGGTTCTTTCATATTCCTCGCGGCTCAAAGACCTGCTATGCCTTATCGGATAGTTGCGAACTTGATTATTGCCATTTTCCTTTTGTCTCTTCTTAATACTACACAAAAAAAAAAAAAAAATGAAGTACATTTTAATGAAAATGGAATATGCATTTTCACACAAATTGAAATTTATAATTAATATATTTACTTACTCGAGTATCGTTTCGACTACCGACTTGGCACAAATCTGAGTAATCGTCATATGGTCATCTGGAAGTTCATCTGCATCCACTTGTACATTTACTTGAAAACTATCTTGTTCAGTTTGATCAATTGTAAACTCTGCAACTTGATCCATTTTGTTGACGCTGCTGAAAAAAAAAAAATGTTTCCAAGATAGAAATTTGTGTGTTATTTTCATTTTATGTTTACTAGATGTTTAGCTGTTAAGCGTAGGTAGGTACAAAATTCTAGAATATTAGACAATGGTAATTGGTTCCATTATGTTAGTACACAAAATATATTATACAACAACAAACCTAGTAAAATGTTGTAAACTATAAAATATATTAATTGCTAAGAATTTACCGTATTGGTTTTTAAATAGCGTTTTTATTTTTTTTTAATGTGTGAAATATCATCAGGAGTGGATACAATTATCAGGATAGTCTGTATGTAGTAAATACACATATCAAGAAAAACATCTACACTTTATAATTGAATAACTTATTAATAATTATTTGTACTAAACAAATTGTCATACTACAGTCATGCTTAATTTTGTGGGACAAATAAATTTTACAAATCTACTAATTACTAATGTTGGATAAAATTATTGGTGATATACTTAAACAGAATAGTACAATGAAAGTAATGACTGGTCAATAACTAGTTTTAAATAAATACTTTTTGAGTTTAGGCAATTAAACCTTCAACTGCTAATAACTTTAAAGTACCTGTTTATTCAAAACTGGTCATCAACTAATATTAACTAGTAACAAATTATTTGTATTAAATCTTTCTGCTTTTTATAGGCAAATATAATACATGTGTTGCTGTTTGACTTTTAAAAACCACCCTTTAAAAAAATGTTATAAAATTGTTTTATATAATAATTTTTCGTATGATATTTCATCTCTAATTTTAATGAGTGTTTTTATTTGAAACTAGCTAAAATAATTATTTTATAGAAAAATTGATTGTAGGTACCTAACATAACATATTAAATACATGTGTGGTTTTTAAAGACAAATTTCCGAATGAGATATACTTGCCTGTTTATGTACCTTTCATAATACAAATTAAATTAAAATGTATAATATGTTTTAATAAGTTAGAAACTGTTTTTCGATATTGTCGGTACTTATCGAGCTTATTCTAGTAAAATTATTTTTAAAATTAAAAAAAAAAGTGTAGATTTAAAACTAGATTGAACTATATCTTTAGCCTCCGTGCGATAATATTTCACCCTGTATTTAGCAGTATTGCGGATACACAGTCTTGTAACGGACCTACTTGTCTAGCTGGCTAGACTAGGCAAAGTGGCCGTCGATAAGTCTAAAATAGACGGATCCCCACGGGAAAACGGTTGGCTAGGCCGTTGTCTACGTCTAATTGGCCTTAAAGTCTCCCTTATTAACTTAATATATCGCCCGAGGAGCTAGAACGGGCGGTCACACTGTTAAATAATCTAACTCTCAGCTGCAGACTACAAGATGTTTTATTCTAAATTAGGGTTTCTATATAAAATACAAAATTATACAATATATATATATATATATATATATATATATATACACTCTGACCTGGGTTGGACGATGAAATGGTTGGTCAAAGCGGAGTTGAAACGGACGCACACAAAAGATAGTCGGATGGGCGGCTTGTAGTAAAACGGCAAAAATATAGAGCGCAAGGTCGAGGATATTGGCGGTCCGTGATGGTAAAGTCAACTGGTTAATTAGATGATACGCGACGTGCATTGTCCTGTGTGTGCGACCGTTCCCCTACCTATAGTCGGGGGTGCTGTGTCAGTTGGTTTGGGACGCGAAGTAACGGTCAAGTGAAATATGATCGTTACAGTCTATAAAGTTTGGCGGTAGACCTAAGTATGCTATAGGCTGTAATGGGAATTTGGGGGGGGGGCGGGGTACAGGGATGATCCCGACGGCAAAATATGACTTTCTACCGAGTCGGGTGTATACTCACAGTGAAGCGGTCAAATGTAGACTATCGTGAGCTACGCTTGGCGTGGTGTTGCTTTGAGCGGATTGGAACTATCTGAAAAATCGTGTTGCGTTAATTATGTTTTATTATTCGGCGACCAAATCTCCGACGGTTTATCGGTTACTTACTGTTGAAAAGCTGTAATAAATAAACGTTCCTCTGTCCCGGAAAGATCACCGACAATTGAACGCTTACCGAGTACCTCTATCCGCTATGACGCAGTACACAATGACTGGGCCGAGCATTATTGATTAATGTGCCTTGGCTCGTCTCCGGGGGACGGACGAGAGCCTGCGCACCAACGTCGTTCATCTCGCGAGACAACGGTTTTTATTGGATTTAGAAACTGCGCCATACCAATGTGACAGTGCAGGCATAAAATCCACAAAAAAAAAAAAATCTAGCAATTAGTTGTATCTCAATAATAATTGAACGGCGTTTTGTTTTTCTTTCGAGAAAAGAGTCGTTTTCGTATTGATTTTGTAGACAATTTAGCATCGCGACACTTGGCGGTACTACTATGATATTCGTTTGCAGTTCAGTCGGTATAATACATGCATTGTCAACTAGAGGACGCCACAGAAACCGTTTATTAAGGAGTAAAGTATAATTAGTAATTTTACAAAAAACTTGACCAAAAAAAAATTGTCGTTCACTTATTACTTTACTTAATATTATAAAAAAGTTTCAGAGTTTAAGGTCTGAAAATTAGACCAAAGGAAAATCTGAAACGAGGCTGTAACATAAAGGTACATATTATTGTGTTTCATTAATTCAACTATGTTATTTGGTATTATTTCGTATTACTAAGCAAATTAAATTTTTAATGTAATCGGTAGACATGTTGGTAGATTCATTAAATGCCGATAAAATGGGTAATTTTTAATCTAAATTAATTATGTTAGTTATTAAAACCGCATAATACAACCAAAAAAAAGAATGAAACGATCTAAAACTTAAATATAGTTTAATTCAAGTTACATAGTAATAAAGGTTATACAGGTTATGAACTAAAGAAATAGCAGACTTGGCCACAATGTCGATATCACTACTTTGATAGTCTGACATTTTTTTGGAAGGGGTATGGAACTTGGCCTCTTTTCACTGTTAGGTTTTTGTTGGGGATAGTCTTTATTCCAATTAGTGAGTAAATATATAATTGTTAGGTACATTTATTAATGTTTTGAGGTTTACTACTTAAATGTTGTTTTTAAACGAATTAAAAAAAATGATCGTTATTCTATCCTTGCTCATGAAACAATGGATATCAGTGGAACAGAACAAATTTATATTATTTATATTAAATGCACTAGTTACTATAATATAAACTTAAAATATTAGGCTCTTGTGTAATCATTATTGACTTCCACTGGTTCATCATCATTGAAGAATAAAAGATAAAAAATAATATAGGCAAAAAAACAATACAAAAGGAAATACAATTTTAATATAACGTGAAGACGATTTTTATTTGATTAAACTAAAATTACACAGTGTAAAATACAATTTTTAACTTTTTACACGATGTTTTTAAAATTAAACATCGAAAACTATTCGGTTTATTTAAAATAATGTAAGTAATGATATATATGATTTAATTTTAAAAATTTAATATATTTTGTGACGTTTGTAACCCTTGTCGAAATACTAAATACTAGACTGTAACACAATTTTGGTTTTTATTACATTTAATAAACCTTGAAAATCACTTTTGTCATGTCTGATACATTATCAAGACACAAATGAATTAATTGTATAAAATAATTAACTGGTTAAAATTTCTATAAAAAAAAAAAAAAGCTATTGTATATAAATATTATACAATAACTATGATGCTGCAAGACTTGATTAACCCTTTTTCAGACACTTTTAATAGGATCAAAGGTAATATAGTCCGTGGTTGTGTCGTAATAAAAACCAAGTTGGATCAGGTGATCGTATATGTAGTCGATGTAAGTATATAATTTAGCAATAAAGAAAGAGTAGATGTCATTTGGATCACCATTGTATTCACTTTTTGTTTCAGAGATATTGAATAATCGGTATTTTGGAAAACATGTAGAGATTAAAAATTTTCTTAAGGATTCAGCACTTTCGATTTAGCAATTGGTTAACGATTAAACCTCCTGGTATTATGCCAGAAAATTGTAATGGAACTCCTCCGGTCACAAAATCATATAGTGGTAACAAAACATTGTAAAACCGATTTTCATTCAGGTTTTTTTGGTTCACAGAATCGATAAACATCAATGTGCGCATCAATTTTAATATAACATACTTACCTTTGGCGGTAATTTCTGCAAGTTTGAATTTACAATCATTGGCGTGTTCTATGTTGTTTCCTTGCATTCTAGTGCATTCTTCAATCACTTCAAGTGTCAATAAAAGAAACCAGTTCAAATTCACGCCGTAAGCACAGCCCATCATCGGAGAGATCAACGACAACCTATCCGACACCAAGAAATTATGATTTTTATTCCCTATTTTGTTCACTGGGACCCATTTTCCTTTATGTTTGTACTTGCTGAACAACATGTCTTGCCAGTGTCGTTCTTGCTTAACATGATGATACATATTGTTTTGAAGTTTTGATGGATGTGCGCAAACCTCCATTGTTCTACTGTGTAAGTATACCAAAACAAACGAAATTACAATTTTATTAAATGCCATTTCTTCTATATTTAAAACTCGATTAACTTCGCTTGATCGCATAGAAAATAACAATAGGAATAAGAATGATTTGTGCCACGTAGTACACAAATGTATTCTACATACAACAAATGATGCTTGTATAGAGCCAATATTGTCTATATGGTTACTATAATTATTTAAGTGCCCAGTTTAGTACACAAAAACCTGAATAAATCGTTATTAGTATATGGTTTTCATAATTTATCTAACATAATTTTCTAAAAACTTTTTTTTACACTTTGTAATTTTTGTTTAATCAAACAAAAACTGTCTCAGTCTCAGTTTTATATAATTACCGAAAAGTGAATATTTACAAAATTAAAAAGATTAACTAACATCATTGACAAATAAAATAAACAACTTGAAAAACACCTGTACGCACCTGAAATCATTTAGAATTATTATTGATTAATTTACCGCACTATTTCCACTTGGTCAAAAATTACTGTACCCACGACTATAATGGATCCCCCTCTACCCATAACTATTAGGATAAAGTGATCAACTGTGTCAAATGCTTTATGCAAAATCGATGGAAAACTGTATTCACCCTACCACCGGATTCGACAACAGTCACGAGGTTAGAGAAATAAACTAACAAGTTAGAAACAATAATACCGCAAACCATGTTGAGGCAAATTCAGTACATTCCGTAGTTTTCGACTCAACCAACTTTTCAAAAATTATTACGGGAATCGGGACTTAAACCTGCTTAGGTAAAATTAGACTTCCATCTATTAGCGAATACGCCTAATGTCAACGACAAATTAAATAAAAATCGTCACGGACGTGTTTTTATTAAGTTATTTCAAATTTTAAGTCAGAACCGACGAGTTGTCACACACCCTTTTTCATCGTGTAAGTATGCGAAAATAAACGATATTAATAACTTTATGATTGCATTTTCTTTCATACTAAAAATGTTTAGAATATTGTATCATGTAGTAGATAACCGTGTGCCGCAAAGCGAACTTATACAAACAGACTTGGAGAAAAAACTAGCCCCAGACAACTTAAATGTAATGGATTTCAACCTATCGCCATACTTTTTCCTTATAAATCGTTAACCGTTTATTTGACAGCATAAATGTATAAAAATCAAGTTCGAGGCCGTCATTTCACTGTAGGAATATTTTATATATGACAATTACTTTTACATAAAATAGCGGTGGATAAAAAACAATACAAAACGAAACAATAATTTAACATAACGTAGACGAATATTTTATTTGGTTAAACAAAAATAATATTACAGTGTAAAGAAAAAAATGTTTTAACACGATTTTAACTTTTGTCATAATTGCGATAATTAATTATTAAGTCACAGCACGTGGCAATTTAATTTCCTAATATTAGCCGCTTGTTAGTCACTTTTGGTAGGATCAAATGAAATATGGCCCGTGGTAATGTCGTATTGAAAACCAAGCTTGCTCAAATGATTGTAGATATAGCCGATGTAAGTATCTAATTTGGCAATATAAAAATAGTAGATGCTATTTGGATCACCAAAATATTCACTTTTTGTTTGGGCTAAATTGAATATTTCGTATTTTGGAAAACATGTATCAACCAAAAATTTTCTTAAGGATTCAGCTCTTTCGATTAACAATTGGTTAGCGATTAAACCTCCTGGTATTATGCCAAAAATTTCAAATGGAACCCGTCCGGCTACAAAATCATATAGTGGCAACAAGACATTGTAAAACCGATTTTCATTCAGGTTTTTTTGGTTTACAAAATCTATAAACATCAATGTGCGCATCAATTTTAGTATAACAATCTTACCTCTTTCGATAAACTCTTCCAGTTTGACTTTACAATCTTTAGCCTGCTCTATGTTGTATTCTTGCACTGTGTTGCATTCGTTAATCACTTCAAGTGTCAATATAAGAAACCAGTTCAAATTCACGCCGTAAGCGCAGCCCATCATCGGAGAGACCAATGACAACCTATCAGACACCAACAATTTATGATTAATAACCGCGATTTTGTTCATGGGGACCCATTTTCCTTTATGTTCGTACTTGCTGAACAACATGTCTTGCCAATGTTGTTCTTGTTTAATATGACAAAACATATCGCATTGAAGTTTTGTTGGGCGTGCGCAAACCTTCATTTTTCCACTGTGTAAGTATACCAAAGCAAACGAAATTAATAACTTGGTAAATGTCATTTCTTCCATATTTAAAACTTGAAGAACTTTGCTTGATCGAAGATAACAACAGAGAATAACAGTGATCAAAGTAATGTGTGCCACGTAGTAAAGAACCTTATTCTACATACACCAAATGATGCTTTCTATAGCCAACGATTCAATTGGCTCTAAAAATTGTCTAAAAATAAATTGTCTATATTGGTAAGAATAAATTATTTAAGTGTCAAGTTTTATACACAAAAGCCTAAATAAACAGTTGTTAGTATATTATTCTCATATTATATGTAATTAATTTTGTCATTTAGATTTATTGTTGTTTAATTTAACGCACTCTTTTAGCTCAGTAAAAATTGACTGTATCCGATACAATAATAGATCACAATATATCAATCCGATACAATAGTAGAAACTTGAATCCCTTCAGATTTATTCTTGTCTAATTTAACGCACTCCTCCTACTCAAAAATAACTTTATCCATGACAATAAGGGATTGCCTATACCGATAATTATAATCTTAGCTATATAAGAATAAAGTAATCAACTGTCGAGTGTCGATTTGACAACAGTCTCTAGGTCCGGATAAAAAACTAACAAGTTAGATATAATAGATTTAGATTCCCGAAAACTATGTTGAGGCAAATCAAATACATTCCGAAACACCGTCGTAGTTAATGATTCAACCAACTTTTTAAAAATTGTTTTGCGACAAAACACAAAATTTAGTCATAGACCTATAATTTTTAACCTCTGACCTGAACCCGGTTAGGCAAAATTAGACTTCTACCTATTACAGAATAAGCCTTATGTCAACGACAAATTAGATAAAAATCGGAATGGACGTGATTGTGAATAAGTAATTTATTGTTATTTGAATGTCAATTCAAATAACACGTTGGCATGGACTAAGTCGGGACAAGTCTTCATACAATTTTACAAAACTCATCAAAAACATCACAAATTGACTGATTACACGTACTTAATTCCGTTGACACATCATTTAAACACAACATTCTCCTCCTAAGGCAATAAAGAAATTTGAATGATCTTTAAATAAGTCAGCTATTCTTTGCTCCTAGACAGAGTGTCTGTATTTGATGGTTCCTTGCATGTCACCCAAAACGTTATTATCAACAAAACATTATGGAACTCCTCAATTTCCAAATTTATATTTTTTCATTGTTTAAAATTGATCATTTTACATTATCCAATTCTTTTGAAATATTTATATAATCAGCTTTTATTAAATTAAAATAACTAGATTTTAGGCATCATTAAAGTAAAATAAATGAATTACTTCAAAGCAAAAAGTTGGATAATATTTATAAACAGGTACTCGTTCAAATGACTTACTACAACATTGCGATCTGACGAAAATTAAAAGTCATATTTGAACGAAAAGTTTATGTGTATTAAGTTGAGAAAAATGGTTCCTGTACCGCTTATGGAACTGCGGTAACTGGAAAACTTTTAGATTAGAGTTATCTTACCATTTTGCCGTAACAGACATTACTGATGATACCAGTAAGTAGACGTCTCTAATCAAACTACTCAACGATCACTTTACACCAGTTAATTCATAATTTTCGGCCCGTGGCACATTCCACAGTAATTATTTTATTATTCTAGTACGATAATACATTTTATATAATTTTCTAAAACTTTTTTTTTTAAACTTGGTAATTTTTGTTTTGACTAAAGGTTTGCTAGCACACTAAATGTAACATTTTGTTTATTTATTTTTAAGTATATACGCCATTAAGGGCAAATAGTACATGTATATATGTATTTGATCTTCGTAATATGTATTATAATTACTGAGATACTAACTAAATAAATAAACTAATTTAAATGGAACTTCAGTTGACGGCGTATACTATAGAAATCAAAGTTAGCGTTTTTATTTAGTCCATTGCCCATCGACAGCAATCGATTCAATGTTGCATTAACACTACAATTACACCGATGAGGTTGCAAGTAGAATAATGTCGGATTTCGTAAGTTCGGTCTAGGATCATTAAACGGAATATGTATCAATACTTCAGGACGATCTATAAAGTTATTTAACAAACAAAGAAGGTACACGGCGTTTATAAACTTCCTTCTATTTTTATGTAACCCAATATTAAACGTCTCATTATCTCAAGAAAAAAAATGTTAACAAGTAAGTAATACTAAAACAAGTAAATGAATGGTTAATATGAGCGTTTTGGTGGTACAGAGAAAAACGTTGAATGGTTTTGAGATTTTGAATATGTTCACTAGGGCTTTGGACAGAGAAAAATGGAGAGGCTCACTAGTAGCAGCGCAGGCCATTAATGGACCGTTAAGCTGTTGTGAAGAAGAAGAAGAAGAAGAGCATTTCTACCGGTTCTAAGAGGAAAGGGTTAATAATATTTTTTGAGGGGGTTTCACTGTATATCGGTATTGAATATCTAAAGAATATCCTTGTATACGTTTGTAGGTAATTAGAAAATTTGAAAAAGTGTAAAATAATTAAATAATGTCTTAGATGTTATTTTTAACTACACTGTAATAAAATAATATTACTTCAAATAAATTACTTTTAATATCAATAAAAAATCATATTATACTTAAACGGTTAATTAAATCATTACATATTAGTTGCGCGCGACAAATATACAAAAAATGGCCGACGCATGTTCCAAAGACGTTGTAACGCGGTTTAGTTTAATCATATGGAAATACACGTCAGTCGAATGGCCGCACAATCAGTGGATTTTAATGTTACTTTTTTGTCTGTTTTTTAGAAGCAGTTAGCAGTCTGCTGAAATTAAAATCTAGTTAAATAAATTGTTCATTGTAATTTTTTTTTTAAAAGGCTAAGAAGAAAAATCGTCAATTTTGCAATAACTTAGTAAATAGTATGGAACCGAATTACATTGAAGAAACAAAACAATAATATGGTAGTTGTTCGATCAGATCGAACCTGAAAAAAGAATCTATGACAATGCATACAAGTAATGTGATTTATTTTTTAAGTTTAACATTTTTTTACCGTATTATATCCGGGCTTTTTATGTTGTTTTTATAAACGTGAAACGAACCTCAAGTAAAAGTTGAAGTAGGCATAGTGTATAGATGGAGATTAGAGTTAGTGATTGCCGTCGAATAAAACTAGCTATGATGCTTATGAATAACTCTACGGTACTCTTACTCTACGGTAAGTACAAAACACAGCCGTTCGTTTGACACTTCCAAGTAATTTAATTTCAAATGGGAAGTTACTAGTAGCTTTTTCAGTAGCTTAACAACAACGCTATATAATCTAGCGCAAAACTATAACGAATGATGGCAATATTTTTATGAACACTAATTTTGAGGATAATATTGTAACTTATTTTCATTTCATGTCAGAAGGTTATACATTTTCATAGTCGACATAATTACAGACATTTTTTTAACTTTATTTTATTCCATATATAATACACTGATACGTTGCATTGACCATATATTTTAAGAGTAATTTTCTATGTGGAATGAAATATAGAATATCACAAATTTCATTGGCATATATATATATAAATATATATTTAGTTATGTACATTGTTCAACTATTATCTATGTACAGATATTATGTTGATATTGATTTTGACAAAAATTTTCTAACAGAACAGACCGTTTTGTATAACGTCCATAATTGATAACGAATTAAACCCAATGAGATCCCCCCGACATGATACACATTGATTTTCCAGAATTTTGGCTACAAAAAATTATATTTTAACACCACTTATTGAGTTCAAATACTTAAGTTCACTCCTAACTTGCTAATAGGTACCCAAATGTTTCAGTGTCATTTATGTTTAATACTAATATCAGTAAAACTATTTTAAAAATAACCGAAACTCGCTGTAAGTGAAAGGTCTTGGACTAATATTAATAATTTTGTACTTGACTATTATTTTTTTTGGTCTATACCCAAATAGACACGATGCACAATTGAATGGTTTTACAAATAAAAACACTTTTTATTTAATTACTCAAACGTAAACGGACCATATTTTCTTTTATATTTAATTGTTGTTGCTATGGTAGTTTAAAATATATTATATTTTATTTGTTAGATATTGTTCGTTGTTTAAACTACATTTTTATCGTCTTCAAACGAAAAGGTTTTTTATACAAATCAATAACATTTTTTTTACAGTTAGGAATTACGACTGAAGTGGAGATTTGAAGAGTAATGATCACACGTATAGAGGACAACCAACTATGATAACTGGCAGGCCAAAAATATAAAACAGATACAATTTACTATGGTCCAGTCGCTATTATAACAAGGTAAAACAAATTTGTATCTACTAGATTTATTAAGAACTGAAATTTTAGTTCAATTATTATATTTTAATATAAAGCATAAGAACCTTAGTAGAAGTCAAGTCTTAAGTCAATAGACTTAATAGATTAAATAAAACGGTTAAAGTTAAACACAGCATTTTTAAGTTTCATTTAATGTAGCCCAAAGTGGTTCGTTTTATGTATATAATTCTTATTTTTTCCAGCTAATCAATTAACATTTTCTTTAGATATTTTTTAATAAAAAAACTTATCCAAACATAAACAGTTTTATACCGAGGCCTAATTAAAACTAACAGGAAAATATCCTAAAAATTGTTCAACAATTAATTAGTAATACAAAATAATAAATACTTATAAAAAATTTTTATAAGCGAAAAAAAATTGTTTTCTTATTTCCATTAATTATTAACTCTCTAGTAGGTTAACATTAAAAACTGGCGTTTATGTTCTATTATAGCCTACCTATATAATTTAATTATTTTGAATTGTTCCTTCAGACATTATTTTAACTTTTTTGTAAGTTTTAAATAACGCACCAATTAAGTATAATATAACTGTCATTTTTTTTTCGTGTATGAGAAAAACGAAAAATGACAAAATAATTAGGCTTGATCTGAAAAAAAAAATACAATTCAGTACAACAAAAGTTCTATTTAAAAACACTTTTAGATATTTATTGAAACATATACAATACGTTAAAAAATAAAAAAATATCGAAGTAAAGAATAACTTTTGAGATGATTTAAGTAATTGGAATTTCTATAAATAACAATATTAAAAAAATAACACAAAATTCAAGTTCGATGCGTAGCCGTATTTAGTATTACTTAGTTTATAATCACTACTATGCCAATTGCTTCAAATGTGTAGTTTATATTTTCAACTTAACAGTTGAGAAATTGGAGATCAAATTACATAACTATAATGAGACAAAACGAAACAAATTTAGCTCTTCCCTAATAAAATTTAAAAAAAATACAGTGTTTATATATTTGTATAACGTTTTGTAATATTATATTTCAACTAAAAATTTCAACATAAATATATATATATATATATATTAAAACACTTGATAAAAAACTAAAACAGTATTTTTTTTGTATCACCTAAACTTTGTTGTTGCTATAGTATTATTCTGTACAATATAACTTGTAACCTTAGTAATTTTTTGCTGTTGCACAACATTGTTTATTTCAATTCTTTTCGTGTAATACTGAACAAAATTAAATCAAGTATTTATTTTTTTATTTTTAACTTTTGTAAAATGAAAACATGATTTGATTTTTGATTTCGACGTATTTATGATAAATTAGAATGTGGATACTTATCTATTAGTATTGTGTGTTACATATTTTATTATTATTATTATAATTGTTACAGGTTCACAAACAGTAGCCGTTTGAAGTTAAGTAGCTGATTTTCATGGAGTGCAGCTGTTGTTATGGCCTAATCAGCTATTATTCAGCAATAATCAGCAATTATTGAGGTAAGGTTATCTTTGGATATAATAATTTTATTTATCTATAATATATATAAATATGGGTGTGGTTAAATGAGTATTAGGTTTTTTACACTGAATATTTTCTCAAGCCATGTCATTTAACCGTTGGTCATGCCGTGCTCTTTGACTGTTTTTATAAGCACGAAAAATCAAAAATCAAAAAAATTGCCTACAATTCACTTCGACATTACATTCATGTTTTTTAACATTACTATTAGCTTTCACGATCCACTTCTGTATTTATATGTAATATTTCTTTTTTATAAAACTGTTCTACTTTGTAAATGTTGATAATATTATATGTAATTGTCAAACTGTCATATAGATTATAGATAATTCATTTAGTACAAGGCACTCGTTTTATTATAATTCCTTCAATAAGAAATTAACCAACAAAATTGTAGTTTGTTTTAGATAAAATTAGTGCCTTATCCTTTACTATATATATTATATAGTATATAATATTATTCCCCTGGATTAATAAAGGCTAAATATATATATATTTTTGTTCCAATTGTGTGTGTTTAACAAATTTTTTAAATTTATATGTATTATATATTTTATTTTTTACATTATGAATTAACATTGAAGTAAAATATATGAAGGACAATGAGTTCCTTAGTAACCGTCACAAGACACACAAACATATCATACGTTTACACTTTAGATTTTCTGATGAACCACTTTAAATGATTTTAATGATTTTCCACTGTCTAACTACGTAGTTCGGTTAAGCTATTTAAGTATCAAAAGTTGATAAAGCTCTTGGAAATACGTTCAAAATAAATATAAATAGTAAATAGTAAATCTTTTGAAAAATCATGTAAGCATGAATAATACATAATAATACATATTACAATCGTTTATGTTATTGCCACATTTTGTTTGTGTTACCATTTGAGGCAGATTGTGATGGCAGCGAAAACTCTTTAGTAATAAATACTAGCAGAAGAAGAAGAAATTATTATTTTGGATTGATTTTTAAGTTATTGTTTACAGTAGTAAATGTACATAACAAAACAAATTTTTAAAAAATTTAATTAAAAATATAAATCATTTTTTTTAATTCTTCGTAATTTACCATTTTATATACTTGTTGGGGATGCATGGTGCGTTTCACATTCAATAAACTTTCTGCTACAATTCTGGGGATTCTGACGAATTTTGCTCTGCGGTAAGTGGCACATGTGCCTCTTAATGTTATTACCCCTGTACATGCAATAAAAATTCTTATTACAATTACCCATAAAACCTTAGGTTTTGTACTTATTTTTTAAACAAAATAATTTGATTTTATGATTAAAAACCAAAAATAATGTTATATGATGACTTTGTCTGGTTTAGAATTAAGATGAAAATTACCTGAGATTGTCAAAGGAAACGGAAAGCGTAAAACTGTTTCTAATACAGACTAAATTGTAAATTTTTTAACTGTTCGTAGCAGTACGATATGCCTTCTTTATTCTATAATAAATTAATTATAATAATAATGTCAAAATCCATGTATTGATATATTTTTTTAGATGGCTAACCAAAAATGTAAATAATAAAAAATTTAAACAATGCCAAGTTTGAAAAAAGTAAAACAATGTATAATTTAAAAAAAAACCAGAGTTTCAACTTTTTTACTATATACAGTGTATATAATACGTAGTTATTATTATGGTGTAGCGAATACTTATAAATATTTTACTTTTATAAAAAATGAAATAGCAATCAAATTATCTTGATAACTGTCGAATTTTAAACAGCATAAACAAAAAAAGAAAGTAAAAAATTAATACTTTTATTATGTACAAAAAATCATAAAAAAATACCAACATCATTCGTTTAGGGGTTATTAATACAATCCCTAATATCTAAAGCGGGCATTACTATTGGTCAGGGCTGTTGAAAGACATATCGTCCAATGTGTGCTAACTAAATTGCTTAACTTATATTTTCGGTTACAAAAAAAGCGTTGGTTAACTCCGGTCGTGTATGTTGAAAAACATACAACTGATGTAAGCACGCAATGTAACATAAAAACTATACAAAATTACTTTTACTTAAGAAATGGCAATCAATGTGGTGATAAAACCGTATTACCGCAATACTATACTTAAAATTATGTAACAAGTCTAATTGTTTCAGCATGTGTATGATTTTAAAGGTATGATAAGTACATGTTGATGTATAAAAGGTGTGGAAAAAAAAAAAAAAAACAATAATTAATTTGGTTACTATTTTTTTTTTTTTTAATTAAAAATAAGGCTTCAATTACAAAGATTATTTGCCTATTGAGGAGGAGGGTTACATATTATGGTGTAATTTATACAATGCTAATGTTGATTTAATGAGATATATCATGGTTTAAAATTTACAATTTTTTATCTAAATCTATGTGTTTGAAGAATTTGAAAATGTTGGGAGTGTTGCTTTGATTGAGAGTTTCTTCTGTCTATGATGGATTATTGAGAAGGTGGCGTGCTGAGGAATATTTGGGACAGTCGATGGTGATGTGTGTGATTGTAATTGGAACTTTGCATAAGTCACACAAAGGTGTGAGATGAGAATGGCCTATTCTGGTTCTGTTAATGACTATTTGTTCTCTCCTGCCTGAGTTGTCTGGGTGTGGCCATTTGGTTACTATTGATAGGCACCTTTAGTGAAGTAGAATATTACGTAGAGACACACTATAATTCTCATCACTAGTCTCTTACCCTTCTCTTCCCTTGAGAGGACTGCATTGACTAAAATCAATACGCCCAAAGCAGTACACGGACGACCGGCTTTCAACCTATCTCCTCTTTGTCTTATGACTGCATAGTTGCACGTTCACTAAAATCATCAAGAGGTAGTAGTTAGATTAAAGATACGATAGTGAGGTGTGTGTTATAGTTGATAAAATTAAAGCATACATTACTTTTTAAGTTATGCTGATAAAGCTGTGGGAAAAAGTTGCTTGGTTTGGCTTAAAGTTATATTTCTAAGAAAGGTATTACATTTTATAAAAAAAAAGTTATAAGGATACGCAAGCTTTACTGTTGTGCAGGTTTGTTGAAAGACATATCGTCCAATGTGTGCTAATTAAATTGTTTAACTTATATACAAAATAAGCGTTGGACAACTCCGATCGTGTATGTTGAAAAACATCCAACTGATGTAAGCACGCAATGTAACGTAAAAACTATACAAAATTACTTTTACTTAAGAAATGGCAATCAATGTGGAGATAAAACCGTATTACCGCAATACTAAACTTAAAATTATGTAACAAGTCTAATTGTTTCAGCATGTGTATGATTTTAAAGGTATGATAAGTACATTTTGATGTATATAAGGTGTAGAAAAAAAAATAAACAATAATTAGTTTGGTTACTATTGATAGGCACAATTAGTGAAATAGAATATTACGCAGAGACACACTATAATTCTCATCACTAGTTTCTCATTTTCCTCTTCCCTTGAGAGGACTGCATTGATTAAAATCCATCAAAATCCCATGATAGGATTGATATTAATCTACGAATATTATCATTTACCATTATTTATGTTTATAACCGGAGATGCGGTTGTAGTAGTTGGGGTGGTTGGCCAACCCACTGAGAATATAATTTTTCAATTATTAAGTATTCGTTTTTGTAAATGGAGAAACATTGTCAATCTTTCTGTGAAATAAAAATGATATATTATTTTAATTTTTGTAAAATTTAGCCTTAATCAAACTAAACCTTATCATATTTTCCTAACAAATAATCAAATTACGTGTTTTAATACAAATAGGGCACACGTCTCTATTAAATAAATAATTTAAAAAAAATATATTTATATGATAAATGTTCATATCTCTTTATATATATATATATTTCTTCTATGCGTGGGTAAGTATGCAAACTTCTTTTAAACTGTTGGAGTGAGCTTCGAGCTTTTATCAGAGAGACACGAGTTTACAAAATGAACAACAATTAATTACTTATTTTATACCATAAAAAAAAACATACTTATTATTGTAGATATACAATATTATTTAGTTATACATTTTTTAAATTATTATTCCAACAATAATTATACTTATAAAATAGTCAATAAGTATTAAACTCTAATTCACTATATATTATATTATAATAAATAAATTTCATAGTTGGCATTAGCGATAATTAAAATCATGCAGGTAACCAATATTCTTGACATGTGTTTAAAAAAAAACCCAGACAATTATTTTCAACTATTGTTTATTATTATTATTTATTAAAAATTTTTACCTCTGGTTTGTGTTTGTTGAATAATAATTGATCTGTATAAAACTAAGTATATTTATTTAATAGTAATTAGTAAAAATTAAAATACTAAACCTATAAGTCTTCAAACATTTTGAACTTCTTATAAACCACCAGACCAGATACATGCAATTTCTAGCGTTAAAGCATACCTACCCACTAGGAATGTTATGTGATGATTTTAGAGCAAGAATACTCATAACGGTTTCTTTGCTGCAATATTCGATGCTAATGAATCCATCAAATTCAAGAACTATAACATAGGTATATTTTGTGATTTTGAAAAATATCATATTCGTTTTAGCTAAAATACGAATTGTGTACTTAAAAGTAAAATTGCCATAAAAGCTAGGTATATTACAATTGCACATTGTTAAAAAACATAGAGATTAGGTAAATGTTAAACTGGTCCCAATAAATTATTATACAAGTCTGCTCTAAAATCTCAAATAATAGTAACATCATTAAAAATGTACAGAGTGAAAATAGTGCTTTTAGGAGAATCTTTATATGTTATAGCGACACACTATAACTCTTATCACTAGTCTCTCATCCTGCTCTTTCCTTGAGAGGACTGCATTGACATAGTTAGCTATGGTCTTCCGTTGGGGTTTACCTTGGGAGCGTGGTGTTAGGCAGCTAATCGAATAGACCTTCGTGTATTTCATCGGCCGCCCCCATATCGGTACTGACCATTTTTTTTATACCAATAATTAGTACTCAATTTGTATAAATTTGTACGACAATTTTCAAAATTTGTATAACTTTAGTTTACAAGGACTATTATAACCACGTGCTAAAACATTAATAAGGTCATTTATTGAAACTGCACAATACAACCGAAAAAAAACCTATTAATAATAACTGATACTAAGTATACATAACTAATGTAATATGCCATCGCAGTTTAAAAGGAAACTTAAACCCGATGGGGGACGGAACAGTGGACTACACCGATATATAGC